AACCGGCCGTCGTACGCCCAAGCAACGTCCTCTTCCCGGCGCCGTGCGTCTTGCATCGTGCGCACGTGCCTATGCATAGATCGTGTCAATACGCCGTCGTCTCCAGCCCCGCGTACCGGTGCCAGTGCCGCATCGCTGCGTGCGTCATGGCGCGATTGTGATGCAAAATCGCGGTGCGATGGCAAAGCACGTCGAGGTAGATGCACCGCCACGACCGGAACGCTGCGTGTTGCAGCACAGTGCTTCGGTGCGCGATGGCCGCATCGACATTGGCGCGCTGCTCGTCGCACACGACCAAGTACGCGCGCCAGTGATCGAAGACGAGGCGCACGCGGCGTCGGTGCGCGTGGACATCCGCCTTCGTCTCGAGGTACACGGCGTGGCGTCGAAGATGCAGGAAGCGGCGCCACGATCGAAACACCGCCTTTTGGAGCCCGCGCACGTACCAGTGCAGCGCAATGCGGACCGAGTGGCGATGGTGAAGCACACTCTTCACGGAGTGTCGCCAGCGACGAAGGCCTGCGCGCTGGGCGACAAAATGGCGGGACTGCCGCTCCGCGTCGAGGTCGACGGCAGCTGTCTCGCGCCAGGCGAGCAACACCCGCCGCAGCATGCGTCGGCGCACGAACCCGACGGCAATCGTGCTTTTCCATCGACGGCGCGTTCGGCGCTTGGCATAACTCGACAAGGTGAGAAGCACGCGCCGCAACGCTCGCGCGGCGTGTTGTGACTGCGCAAAAAAGAGCAGGACGCGCTGCCGCTGGCACCACGCCGCGCGCTCCTGCCATGTGCGCCAGCGACGCGTCACCGTTCGCTGCGCCGTCCATTCGTGCACCTGCGCACCGCGCCGATGAATCGCCGTGACGCGGTGCCACGCGAGCATAACTGCCGTCAGGTGACCATGCCGGTGGTGGCGGCGGGCGGACGTCGACTTGTGCTTTGTCGTACTTGCGCGTCGCCAGCCACCGAGCGCGTGCGTTAGAAGCCGCGTTCGGGCGTGGTCGACTGCCCGCTCGTATTGGCCTTCGCGCGCAGGACGCGTGGACTCGGTGCGCGCGCGCCACCGCCGAAATGGGTGGCAGAGCAACGCGAATCGGGACTTGACCGGCGCGGCCGCGGGCGTCGGTGGTCGCGTTTGCTCGCATCGGGCTTTGAGCAGCGACTGCCGTCGTCGTTCGTTTTGGGCGTCGGCGATGGCGGTGGGTTTCCGCGATGGCGCGGGTGGGATGCGTCGGCGTCGGTGGAAATCGCACGCGTCGTCCGAGCTGTCATCGCTCGACTCTGCCGCCACTGGGCTGGGCTGGGCGTACTTTCTCTGCTTCTGGTGGCGCTGGAGAAGACTGTGGTTGCTCGCTCGGCGCGTGGTCTCTCGACACTCGGCGCGGATCGCACTGAGCGTCTTGTGCTTTTGCACTTGGATGGCGGTGACGCGGCGCCATCGATCAAAGAATTCGGCCGTTTGCTTCTGCCGCCAATAGTAGAGCGCGACGAGGTTCTGCTGCGTGTCTTCTTCGAGCGCATGCTGGAGGCGCGTCGGCGCGGCCTTGGCCAGCTTGAAGCGAGGCGGGTGCGGCGACGACAGTGACTGCCGGCGCTGCATCGTCGCCTGCATGTGCAGGTACAGCTCGCGCTCGTCCGATGAACTGGAGCTCATCGTGCACACGAGACTGCGAGTTGCTCGAGTCTCTCGCGTCCTCCGGCGGCAACACGCAGACCTTGAAAGATCCCAATTGCAGGTCGACCCATATTGCGTCATCGCGGCCGCAAATATGCATTGTAACAGGTTATTGCAAGCGCAGCGCCCATCGTGGTCATCTCTCCTCCATGTTGACATCGTTTCTGACAGGTTATCGGATTAAGAAGTATCTCTCGGCGTCGTCGAACATCTCGCCTGCTTCGAACAAATGCAAGCGCGCTAAGCTTCGACCTGCGACTGCGTCAAGGGCATGGCGAGCCTCGAGCAAGGGTCTACCTTGGCAGATACGATGGTCGAGCCACCACGGTCGCGTCGGGGGTGAATATAACTTAACTTGAATACCCTGGTTCACACCGCGTGTGGGACGTCATCGGACATGTGTTTCTCGGTTGCAATTGCGATCTTGCAGGATTTAAGTCGACCTATGCACTCGACACCCTCCGACGAACCCTCGGCTCGTCGCGCACCTCGCGCGCTCGTCGTGCGCTCGACCGTTCCTCTGCGCGATGCTCCATCTCGACAAGGTTGTCCTCATTGAGGGAGCTAAGCCGTGGTTACCCAGTGTGCACTTGACGTTCAAGCCATGACACGGAGGTAACTGGTGACGTCGAGGCCGCTGCTTGTCAAAAAATAAGATTTGAGAAAGTCCGTTGCATTCTATTCTTACGCGAGGCGGCTTTTTATTGAGCTTGCATACAAAGACCAAGTCGACGCCCCATAAAAACGAGCGAGCCTAGGGATCGCTTGCTTGTATTGGCATCATCCGCCCAGCCACAGAACGAGCATGGCGTCGCTTGGCCCTGAGGACCGCCGCACGGGCAACGACGGCCGGACCACGGCGTCTCGCATGGCCAAGGCGCCGGTAACGGGCGGTGCCAAGCTGCACCCGGCGCACCAGCGGCTCGCGCCGACGAAGAGCAGCATTCCGCGCCCGTACTTCTTAAACTACCAGGGCCAAGGCGCCGCGGCGCCGCCGCCCGAGTCTGGCTGGCACCCGACCGTGCAGCACAACTTTCGTGGCATTGCACACGATGTACGTGCTACTTGCAACTACGATCGTAGCTGTATACTCCACTTGTAGTCGCCATTGTACGCGCGAAAACCTACGGCCGTCGCCCAGACCCGCGCCTTCTTTGGTGACGACGAGTCGCCGCCGCGCGCGTCCAACGGCGCGACCTTGCCGCCGTCGTCGCGCGCCTTGACGACGAACGATCTCTCGACGACCGTGGACCAGGCTGCTTTGGCATCGGCGGTCGACGACGGTGACATTTTGCTGACAAGCGGGCCGATGCTGCCGCGCGGCCGCACGCTGCCACCGGCGCTGAATACGAGCGACCTCGACTCGCCAATGGCCTCGTCGACGGCCTCGACTGCCTCGACGGGGCCGCGGGCGCCCAAGACGCCGTCCGGCGCTGTCGGCGACGACGGTCTCACAGCGTCGCAAAAGGTCCGCATCGGTCTCTCGGGGTTGCTCCTGACGTCGGAAGCCTTTCGCAACTCGACAGGCATCAACACGAGCGGGCGATCCTTGCGTGATGCGAGCCCTGGGCGGACGCGTGCGCTCAACTTGAGCTCGGCGCCCATCAGTCCCGCGAGCAGCCGAACGTCGAGCCAGGGCTCGTCCCGCTCAGTGCGCACCGAGGCATTAGTCGCCAAGCTTATTCCTACCAAGAACAGCGTGCAGGGCCTCATTGGGTACATCAAGGAGCTGCAGTCGTCCGAAGCGTCGTTGCGGACGCACTTGGACACGATCAAAACCAAGGCCCAGGAAGACCTCGCGGCCTCGTACGGCAAAGTCAACAACCTCGAGTCGAGCATGCGCGTCATCGAGAACGAGCGACTGCGCAACGCGATGGAGCTCGAGCGCAAGGCGCGCGAGATTGACGCGCTCCAAGAAAAGATCCGCGCGCTGCGGAAAGCCATGGAGGGGCAGATCCCGGCGACGATGCTGAGCCAGCTCACGCCGCTCGACTCGCCCGAGACGGGTGCGGCCTTTGATGGCTTTACGTTTGAAGCGTCGCCCACGAACGCGACGACCGACGGCGGTCTCACGAGACCAAGTGCTTTGTCTGGTCCACCAAGCCCCATGACGCAATCGCCCAAGGTGGTGCTCGAGGCGTTCGCACCAACGCAGCCGCCGGCACCGTTTGTCATGACGAGCGACGCATTTGCGCAAGACCCGCCGGTGGTGCTGAGTGCACAGACGTCGCCGAGGTCGCCGAGCGAAGACGTCGCCCGCGCCTTGACGTCGTGCTTGCTGCACACCCAGTCGTCGCCGAGGCACAAGCCGGCGCCGGTCACACCGACCATCGAGTATCCCGCCGCGCCCATATTGTCGCTGCCCCCGGTTGCTCCACTGTCGCGTTCTGCGCCCGTTGTGCCGCCTGCCGTCGTTGCAAACGCGGGTTCGCAGGTGGCCCGCCCGCCGTTGCACCCGTCGTCCACGTCCCCAACCAACAATGCGCCCCCGACAGTGAGAAGTAGCACGGCGAGGTCGCCGCCGACGTCGCCGTCTGCTGGGGAAGGTCAGACGCTCACGACACTGCTCACGGACTTCTACAAGTCACACCAGCCCGACAAGCTCAAGGACGTCAAGCACATTGTCAAAACGTATACGGGCAAGGAGCGCGACTTGCTCCAACTCCTGCAAGTCAAGTACGGCGCCCGAAGCATCCAAAAGCTAGCAGCCGGGCTCGCAATCGTTCCACTCCCCCGAGGCGCAGCGCCATTGTCGACGCGCCAAACAGGAACAAAGTCGTGGTTTCCAATCCGGTTGCTCGCAGTAGCGTCGGTCGGAAGCTGTCTCGGACTCGTGTGGTGCGGTGCAGCATCGCACCTCGACTGTACGTCGATGGCCCCTGTCTCACCCGCCTACTGCGCGCGCTGGACGCAAGCCACCGATGATTTCTGGGCCCGCACCGACACGGACACGGCGTGGGAAGTGCTGGCACTCCTCCCCGCCGCTCACGACACGGTGGCCGCCGTCACGAGCGACATTTGGGGCAACACGGTCGATCGTAGCGCGCGGGCGTGGCGCCACGTGCAGTCGATGGACGTGCCCAGCATGACGACGGCGCTTCAGGACGGCGCGCAGGCGTTCCAGGCGCTCCTTACCGAGTCGGGTCCAGCACAATGCAAAAAGAAGAGCGGCCTCCCCGAGACGCTGGTCGTTCCCGGCGGTGCCACGTTGCAGCGCGCGTCGACGGACCCCGTGGTGTTCGCCGTCCACGCAGCGCTCAACGAGGTCGACACGCTCGCTGCGCGCGAGATGCAGTGGCTATAACTTGCTGTCAATACATGGTTCTTTCCTATTTAGCCGGCGCTCTATTTTTGGCCATATTCGTGTATGGAAAGGCGACCGCGTCTCGAGGGCGGGCTCGGCCACGCCGCGAGCTCGCTGCTTCGGAGCTGCTCGAGTGCGCCGGACGAACTCGCGCAGACCGCGCGCCTCGTGGGCCGGTCGTGGAACTTTCGAGCCAAGCAGCGGCGCAAGTACAGCATCCCGGGCGGCGACGACGATGCCGCCATAGCGTGCAAGCCCGGGACCAAGGCGATGAATGGAGGTCGGCGCTTTGACATCACAAACGAAGACAATGCGCAGTCGTTCGACGAGCTCTTCCAGCGCGAGATCGTCAAGATGCCAGCGCGCATGGTACGCCCGTGTCCCATCTGATGACAGACTCGACATGCACGCATAGGAGCTTGCGTCGCAAGCCGATGAGCTCATTTCCATCATCTCCAAAGCCCACGTGAGCCAGCGCCGCCACACGGTTCGGGCCATCAAGGTCGCTGAGAGCAAAGACGCGGTGAGCGCCGAGGACGCAGCGAAAGCCGAGCTCATCTTCAAGTACCGCTGCCTCGTCGGCCGGGACGTTGACTTTGTGCAAATGCTGCCGGGGTATGCCAACAACGCGCTCAACGCCAAGATGCTGGCGCTCGGCCAGCGCTACCACGCCAACGACTATGCGTAGGCGCTCGCTGTTATGGTAGTCTTAAGTGAAAGAGCCTTGCGTAGTGCGTGCTTGGCCGAGTTCGAACAGTGCTGGGACATGAACGCCGAGCAAATCAACCGACCAACGCTCTTGTACGACCGCGCGATCTTGCTCGGGCACGTCGGCGACTTTAAGCGGGCCATGACCGAGCTCAACGAAGCCATCAAAGTGGACAACGAAGACCCGCGCTACTTTAAGCTCCGCAGGTAGAAAAAGCATCGAGCGACCGATTCGCGTTTACATCGTGGCAACTAGCATTCTCTGGCGGCTCCAAGAAAAGTACATCGAGGCCGCCAAAGACTCGTCGCGCGCCCACGCGATCCATTTGAGCAAAACCAAGCACCGGCAGCACCCGTCGCTGCTAAAAAAAGTGGCCAAAGCCGCGTCGGTCAGCGACCACGCCGTGCGATACCACAACGTCCGTCGTCGTGTGGACTCATCGAATGGCTGTAGACGGCGCTCAACGCCTTTGACGAAGCGTGCGAGACGCCGATTCAAGTACGCGACGTCTTTCCATGCGCCGCAATGAATAGCACCATGCGTAGGAGCGCACGTCGCGCCAGATCCAAGCGCTCGTCGAGGAGTCACACCGCATTCCATTTCTCGCGCGCTTGGACGTCGACCTCTTGCGCGTGCTTTGGAAGTAGACCCATCGAGTCATTTGAACGTATCTGCAACGAGTGGACGTGTAGAAATCTCACGTACGCCGCGTGGCCCGCCGACACGCGCGTGGTGCTCCCGAGCTCCACCATCAGGTGCGTTGAACATGGCGATCGCATTTGCCCGAGAAAAAATAGCTTGTACGTGGTGCTCGAAGGCGCGGTCGCCGTTCAAACCGACCTCCATGGTGCGATCGACGCCCAACGGACGCTCGAGCCCGGCACCATCTTTTGCGAAGGGTCGATCTCGGCCAACTTGTGGGCCGCCACGTCCCTCGTCGCCCTCACCGTACTCCTACATATGTGCTGCGACCGCAGGCTGAGAGCGAACGGTAGGCGTCCAAAGTCTTGACGCTCGAGTCGGTCATTTACAAGCACACGATGCGCAACATTATGCTCGAGGGCGCGTCGACGCGGGCCCACTTCTTTCGAGACTCTGGCATTTTCACCTCGTGGAGTGACGAGCAGCTCAACACGCTCGGGATCCTTTCCGAGCAGCTCGAGTACGCTGCGCGCGAAACCATTGTGCATGAAGGTAGAACGCGTCCGCAAAAAAGCGTCATCTGCATCTCCTTGTGGGCAGGCGCGCCGGCTCTGCACTTGTATTTTGTCCGGTCGGGCTACTGCGGTGCGATTCGGATGCTCCAGCAGCACCCGATCCAAGTCGGGTCCGTCTCGTCCGGCGATGTCTTTGGCGAGGTGAGCCTCGACTTCTCTCAAATACGGGCGCATTATCTGCGTAGGCGGCCGTGCTCGACCCGATCGGCGGCATTTTTCCCTTTACGATCACGACGATGACGGTCTGCAAGATCATTCGCATCCAAAAGTCCTTTTTGAACCGACGGCTGCCGTTCGAGGTGCTTCGCCTTGGTCCCATCGACGCGCCGATCCTTGCCAAGATTGAAAAGCTTTCGGTGCGGAGCCCCACTGACAAAGTTGTACGACCTGCGGACTCGATACAGACATGGACGTTGACTGCATAAATGCCACTAGCTGGCGCAGATGATCCGGGACAACTGCTCGTGGACGCTGAAGCGCGAAAAGGTGCTGCATCGGCTCGTCCAAGAAAACGCCAAAGGCACCGGCAAGCCCCTCCTCTTGCCGTCGGTCCATCCGCGCTAAGTTGGCAACGATACTGATTTCATTGATGTCTATAACTACGAGGGAGTAAGAGGAGAGGAAACGCGGGGGCGCATCTCAGGGACGCCACACTCGGCATGCGAGTTGCGTGGTGCCCCGTCATTCGCAGCCACCAAGGCGACCCAGCGGCTTGAACTACTCAAAAACAAGCCAGGCCGGGCGCCGACACGTCCTCCCGCTTTCTTCGTCGCTCGAGCTAAATTTCGACAAAGGTCACGTCCGGCGCCAACCGCGCTTGCTTGGTGCCTTGCACGACCCGGCCGACGATCCACGCCGGCTGCATGTCGAGGGCCACCAAGTCGTCGATAAACGCCTACAGCCACATGAGAAAAGCAGTGCACGCGTTGCTTGCGGTACCTGAGCGCGGTCGGCGTCGATCGAGACAAGGAGACCGCCCGACGTCTCGGACGAGAAGCCGAGCTCAAGTCGCCATTGGCCGTTGAACGCCTCGTTCACCGCGAGCATGTCCTTGATGACCGGCAGCGTGTGCAGCTCAAAATCCACGTCGGCCTTTTGCGAGGTTGCCATGTTTCTAGCAGCCGCAAAAGCAAGCGTCAACAAGAGCTAAACACCAATAGTATTGCCGTACTGGGCGTGCCCGAGGATGCCAAAGCCCGTGACGTCTGTCGCTGAGGTCACGCCGTGCTAAGCATGGTCAGTGTGCATGTTTCCAGAACTGCAGGTGGTAATAATACCTTGTGCATGAGCTTGGCGCCGTTGACGTTGAGTCGGCTCATCGACTCGGATGCGACGCTGAACGCGCGGTCGGCCATCTCCCGCGTCAAGAAACTTTCGACCTTGGACCAGCGCGCGGGCTGGTCCTTCATCTGGTACGCGTTCACGGCCAGCTGCGTGCTATGTGCATGACAGCATGAGGCAATGAATTCCCCACCAAGGACGAGAGCGCACCCGAGGGGCTTGGTGAGCACGAGCATTTGTCCGGCGGTCGCGTTTTCCGGTCGAATGATCTCGGACTCTAGATGTATGTTAGTGAGATTTCTCTTTGTTGATGAAAACATGGGACTACCGGCGCGAACACTCATGGCGACGCCGCCGACAATCGGCCACGGGTTCATGACGGTCTGGCCGCCCGTGACGTTGGTGCCAGCTTCGCGAGCAAGGTCGTTGAAGCCGTGGATGAGCTGCGTCGTCACGACGTCGCGCTCGAGGTCCGTCATCGTGCGCGAAACGCCGAGGATCATGAGCATCGTGTCGACTTCGGTGACGCCCATCGCATACAGATCCGAGAGCACGTTGGCGCAGGCAATGCGGCCCTACGCACATATGAGCTCCGTGTACGTTCTGCTATCAAAGTACTTGGACGTAGGGATCTTGGACCAGAGGGTAGAAGAAATCGGTGGTGGAAATCATGTAGAGGTCCCCAAACTTGGGGTGCTTGATCTTGACGACGCTCGAGTCCATGCCCGGCGTCTACGCGGCGGCAATGTGAGCGCCAATGCTGGATTCGAGTACATACCTCGTTGGGTTTGAGGTCGTTGGCTATCCCAGAGATGTAGGAGAGTAGTTTTTCCTGGGGTAGCTTGCAGCCTCAGCCTTTCAGCGCGCTAAAGTCGGTGAGCCGGAAGTCTTCGCGCAGCCCATGGTCTGTGGGGTTGAAGGGCGCACGCTCCAGCTTGGGCCGCTTGAGCTCGCGCGCAAGGACGGCCTCGACGGCCCGCGCGGCCGCGCTGCCATCGTCGTCGCCTGCGTCCATCACCCAAAAAGGCAAACTCAGATCTGCTCGCACCAATCACAGCTGTCAACGGTCATTTTATTGCTGCAAAATCGGATCGCTGCCTTCACTGACGTTCGCTACCGCGTGGCTGTGGCACTCTGCGAACGTGCCGATTGACGCTGTTTGAGCAGCACGAGCATGCGTTCTCTACGTTCCAGCTCGTGTCATGTAGACTCTCACGACGGTCTCCTCGCAGCGACACGGTCGTTTGCCGAGGGTTCGAACTCGGCCATAAATTGATCCGCGCCAACAACGGATCCACGCGGTGCTGCCACATGCTGGCTTTGGATTGGCCAAAATGCTGTCGAATAGCCGTTACTATATTAAAATACAGCGTCCCTACAAATCGCAGGCTTTCGATCGGATTGGTATAAAATTACGACGTGCGGATTAAAAATACCGGCTCGCCCAAGGTGCACATTTGTTGGGTCCCCACCTTGGAGCAAGGAAGTCGTCGACCAGCATGCGCTTCGGCCTGTACGCGTCTACGAGCTTGATCGCCGGCGCGGGCCTCGTCGCCTACACGTACCACACGCGCCAGCAGTTCTACCCGACCGTCATCTACCTCGTGACCTCCAAGGTCAGCGTCATGGTGCTCTGCAACGTGGCCTTTGTGCTCACGATTCTCTGCGGCCGCGTCTTCAAGCGCATCTTCCTTGGCACGCTGCGCGACGCCGAGCTCGAGGTACGCCTTCTGTGCGTGGCCTCTCTGTGCTAACCGTTGGCGCAGATGCTCTATGACCACGCCCGCTTTGCCATTGCGGAAACGTGCTTTACGCTCTCGGTGTTTCGCGAAGAGATGACGCTCAAGGTGCTCGCGCTCTTCACGCTGCTCCTCTTCATCAAGACGTTCCACTGGCTCTGTCAATGGCGCGGCGAGCATGTGCGCGCATTCAGCGGTTCTTGGTTGCCACGACGCTCATGCCTGTGGCTGTAGATTGAGCAGTCGGAGGTCGTGTCGCGCTCGACGCACGTGCGCTTGGTCATGCTCATGTCGCTCCTCGCCGCCGTCGACATGTCGTTCGTCGTGCTCTCGGCTGTCAAGGTGCTAGAGCGCGGACCGTCCGTCTTGGTTCTCTTTGGCTTTGAGGTACAGTCACCCCTGTTGGAGCGGGCTTGGCTCTGACAAAGCGGTAGTTTCTTGTGCTTTTCGTCTCGCTCGTCGCCGTCTTCATGCGCTACGTGCTGCACCTCATTGATGCGCGCGTCGATGGCACGTGGGCCAACAAGTTTACTTATGTGTTCTACCTCGAGCTCATTACCGAAATCGTCAAGCTCATCGTCTACTTGGTACATGCAGTGCGCCTCGGAAACGCCTTTGTCAACCGTGCCATCGTAGATTTCTTCATGATCATCTTTACGTACTATGGCATGCCGCTCCATCTCTTGCGCGATCTGTGGATGTCGATCCGCGTACGTCAACGTCAAGCCACGTGCCGGCGCGCTCACCATGTCGCGTATGTAGAACCTCCAGCGCCGCATCATCACCTACTTCCGCTACCGCCGCATCACGGCCAACATGAACGAGCGGTACGGCGTCAACGGTGCGCAACGCAGCGGTGTTAATCATTGGGTAGGTTTCCGAGCCCAACCGAGGACGAACTCAACGACACGGATCGCATTTGCATCATTTGCCGCGAAGAAATGACTCCAGAGACGTGCAAGAAGCTTCCTTGCTCGCACATTTTTCACCTCAACTGCCTTCGCATGTGGCTCCAGCGGCAACAAGTAGGCTGCCGCAGATTTCCTCGAGGGGTCTAAGGTCCTGTGGCTAGACGTGCCCGACGTGCCGTGCCAATATCCCGACCGACCGGCAACCGGACGTAGTCCCAGACGAGGCTGCCAACCTGCCAGTTGCGCCGCCGCCCGTGGAGCAGCCCCAGCCGGCGGTGCCCGAGGCAAACAACGCTCCGCCGCCACCGGTTGCGCCCCGAAACGCACCTCCTCCACCTCTCCACCGGCAGACGCCGTACCAGCCGCCGGTCGAAGCGCAACGCGCGGCACCGGAGCGACCGGCTGCCGTGCCGCCGCCCGTCAACGTCGGTGGCCCGGTGCCCGTCGCAGGAGGCGCGCCGTTTCCACCGCTCTTTGCGACGCCGCCACCGCCGATTTCGGGCGGTGTGGCCCCGCCGCCGGCCCTGCACGGTATTATGGACCCAGCGCAGCTGCACTACATGCAGTCGCTGCACTATGGTCTCCAGTTGGACCCCATGTACCTGCAGTACCAGCTGGACATGCTCCAGGCGCAGCTCCACGTTCTGCGTGCGACGTCGGTAGCACTGCAAACGGGATCGCTCACCACTGCTGGCTTTGCGATGCCTCCGAATGCTGCCTATGCACCAGCAACGCCTTTCTCTGCGCCGACGCCGCCCCCGACGTCGGCTCCCGTTGCAGCACCGGCGCCCTCGACGATCTCAGTGTCGCCCGCCGCTGCCCCTACGCCAGCGCCATTCGTAGCGGAGACAATGACGCCGCCCGCGCCATCGACGCCGATGGAACCAGCACCTGTGTCGGCACCTGTGCCATCGACACCGATGGAGCTGGCGCCAGTGTCGGTGACGGCACCCATGCCTACGACACCGGTGGAGCCAGCATCCGCCGAGCCCAAGGAGCCGACGCCGGCGGCCGCGCCATTGTCGGAAGAAGAGGTCGAGCGCCTACGCCGTCGGGACGAGCTCCGAAGGATATACGCCAAGCGCTACGCCGACTCGTCGGAGAGCGCCACCAAGGACGAGAACGAGGCCGAGTAATCATCGCAGCCCCTCACGTCGTGCAGTAATTCCAAACGATCACTGCTTATGTTCATCTCATCCGTGGGACATCGTTGGCAGAACCGTGACTGACATGGGGTCCTTTCGCTTCGCTTCACCGGTATGCAACCGACAACAGCCACTAACGGTAGTTCTGCGCTCGTGGTTGTGGATGACAGCCAGGGGCTTGCTCTATTGTGCGGCGCCGAGGGTGCGTGGTATCTATCCGATGCGACCAAAATCCATGTGCGGTTCTGTGTTGCTGTAGAGATTTGTTGAAAAAGTGGTGACATTTTAGTTTAGTTGTTATATGATCGTTTGAAATGTCATAGTTCTCGACCCTTGGAGTAGGTACAATAACCTAGCCCACGAGCCGCTTGATATTATTCTTGGCGACAAGTAGCACCAGCGCACCAACGGATGTGTCATGGTAGCTAGAGACTCTAGAAAATGTAGCCGGTCAATAGAAATATATAAGTATGAATGAATGGTCCCCTCAACAAAAAGGTTATCTTCAAAGAAGTTCAGCTAGAGCTAATAACTGTGTAATCAATGGGGACCAAAGAAGTAGAGTACAATATAAGAATCGAGTTGCTCAGGATGGTACTTGTTCACAACATGGTTGGTTCAGTGTCTAACATGTGTATAATAAAGTGTATAATCGTCCTCGCAACAACTAAAATATGCAAATTCGCTTTTTGTATATGTCGAAATGCTGATTCGTACCGCCCGGTTCCACAGAACGTGGCTAGGTCGGTAAGTGCCCAGCGATCCTAGCTTCCCAAAGAGACTTCGCGTCGGGCTGATGGACCCAACATCCACAGAGGGAGCCTACTATATGCCAAGTAATAAATGGAAGACTCAGATCGATATGGACGAATTGACTGAGGGGCAAAATTTGGCAAGTTTCAATCTACGTGCTGCAAGTGCAATTTCGAAATGCTCACAGGAGGGCGGGACGCGGTTATCCGGATACTGCACGACACTCTCGTCGCTGGCCACTCGTTCGTCGAGGCGGGTATCCGGATAACGGCCATCGGTTGCTGCTGCTGATTGGCTACCACACTATTTTGTGGATTTCCGCGCGCGCGGCCGCGTGCTCCTTTAAAACTCCAATTCAGAGAGGAGACTGTGGCATACACCTTTTCCGAGCTCTACTGGAGAAAAAGCGGCCGACCACAAATGTTGCAGATTGTTCGGACCATCGACAATAGTGGCGCTCAACGGTGGACTCGACCGTGTCGCGGGCGGTCCTCTAGCCAACTCTAGGCGTTGTAGGTGCTTTGCGATAGAGGTAATCGTCGAGGAGTAGCTTGGCTTGATGAAGGTGCATCGCGTACTGAGCCATATAAGAATGTTTCTTGGCGGAACACACATGCTGAGTTGTACGACAGCTCGGAGCGATAGGGCGCAACGCCAAACGCAGCCGCAGTGCAAAGCGATTTGCGCCGTTGTTGAAGTTCCATGCTAGTCCGGGCCACTGCGTTCAGACCGCTCGATCAGACAACCTTCAACAACTCGCTTGGTGGTACTTCGAACTTCTGCAGAGGCGGTGTGAGATGATGGGCGGAAGCTTGGCTTGGCGGATCACGTACATGTATGGCGGTCCAGCACGCTCAGCTCGTATACAGTCTCGAAGCCGCCTCTACGCGCTAGAGATGGCTTCGAGACTGTATATAAGTTGCTGCTTTGCACATCAATAGCCATCGCAACCAAATAGTACCAATGTTAAAATAGCAAAACTCACAAATTCGACATGGACTTCAAGACGCTCACAAAAACTTGCCCGCAAACGGGCACTTGCTCGTGCTGGCGCTGCTGCTTGACACTGGCGACGGGGCGCTGAGTGTAGATTGGCGGTCCGAGAAGGCGGGGCTCGTCATATCAAAAGGGCACGAGAAGACGTCTTCGTGACTAGCTGCACTGTCCTTCGAGTGCCCCGAGAGCGAGAGGCGCCCGTCCAGCATCGTGCTGCGCTCCGTCATCGACGATGAGAACCGCTGGCGCGACGAGGTTTCTCCCGGTCGCTTGAGTAGCTGCTGGCGGTGCAGCGCGTCCAAAAAGGCTTCAGCTTTGTAGAACGTCTCCATGCCGCAGATGCGGTTCGACGCATCGAGGTCAAGGATCGTGAAACCAAAGAGCTCGACCATCGGTGACGCATTCGACGACGGCTTCGGGTACCCCCAATGGCGCCACGAAAACGAGACGCGGGGCAGCTTGGAGAAGACCTCGAGCACCTCCCACGCAAACCCGTCCGGAAACGCCGACCCAAACGTCATGGACGCTCGGTCCCGCGTGCTGCGCTTGGCGTCGTAGAGCGCCTTGGCCGTTGGCGCGGCCGCGAGAAACGTGTCGTACTTGCCGTTGCGGACCAGGTCGTCGGCGGCGACGGGGCTCGCGCCGTTGACGTGGCATTGGAAGAGCTTGGGGTGCATCGTCGTCATTTGCTGCGCGTTCGTCTTGTGGCTCACCTCCATCTCCCACGTCTTGATGAGGTTCTGCACCATCCACTCGAGCGAGCCGGGCTTGTGGTTGTACGTCTTGCCTTGCAGGAAGAGGAGGTTCACGAGCGTATAGTCGGGCTTGCCCACGCGCCACTCGACGCTCGGGTCGTCGAGCGTGCTGCGCATCGGGACGTGGTCGCCCAGCGTCGCTTGAAGCTTGGTGATCTCGGCGCGGGCGGCGTCCAGCGCGGTCGCCGACGTCGTAAGCGGAATCACGTTGGTGGGCACATAGAGGTAGACGTCCGATTCTACGGACGGCGTCGGTGTCGGCGACTCGATGACGCATTGTGGCACGACCTTCGGCGTCATGGGCTGCGCCAAAACGCCCGTGAAGGCCATGGCCCACTTGTCATAGTCGCGCTCGCACGTTGCGGCCACGGTGAGCTGCGTCCCCGTGGGCGATGCCACGACGAAGCCCATCTCGTGCTTGGTGCTCTTCTCCGCGACAGCGACCCGAATCCGGTGCTTGTGCGGCTGTCCTTCGAAGCGCGCCGTCGCAAACGCCAAGAGCTCGCCTTTCGTCAAGACAAAGTAGTAGGCCTTCCAGCTCCGGAAGAAGCCACCCTTGAGCCGCAGCCAGCCGCACGTAAAGACGGGGGCCGCGGCCACTTGAGGCTGGTGCTTGCGCGACGCGCCACTGGCGTCTGTCGCACCGCTGGCACTACTCCTGAGCGTGGACATGGTGGCGAATTCAAAAGTGGCATCCTACTGCATGTCAAGCACCCGACAAAGATTTGATTTCCGAAGTTCGAAGCATCCGATTCCGATCGCGAATTGCGATCTTCTTGCATCTGCGGCCAAAGGTTGCGCCGATCCGTGCACAAGAAGCCTGTGTCGGAACCCACGCTTGACGTGTCCATGACTTCGGAGATCGACGGACGAGCGACATTAACACCAAGCAATGAGATCGCTGTCCACCACGGACGGTAACGGGGCGCGATCTGCGGTCGTCCACAAGGAGACCGTGGGGACCACACCACGCAAGGATAGTGGGACGAGGCGCTTCGAAATGTACAACTCTGACTGCGGCGGCTGCTTCAAGTGCCCAGCCCCGTTGGTTGCATGTCGAGGAAAGGTTGCTCGCTTCTGGCCCAACGTGCGCTCGTTGGAACGAGTAGGGTTCCTGCGACGTGTACTGGAGCCTGCAGCGACTGCCCTCATGCAGCAAATAGTGGTCTCCGAAGTTGGTTGAATTGCTACGAATTTCGAACGAGAAGTGAGAATGCAACCTCGGCCATCGCACAAGGCCTCTCGCGGGCGCTCGATGTGGGTGTCCTGCAGCCAATATGTAGCAGCGAGCTACTTCCTGCACCGGTCGAGCTTCCATCGAACGCATCGTCTTGCGCCATGCATACGAAGTAGGTGGTCGTCACTGCACAGAGTGGCGTCTCAGTGCGCGAGTTACGCTGCGGCAGCGAACGCACATCGATCTTTCTGTACGACTGTCGCCCGTGATCACAGCCTCGAATGCAAGTGCTTTCTCGTTTCCCATCGTAACTCATTTATTCCACTGCTATTAGAGTTCATATCTCCGGGCTGGTGCATACTTCTAGTGTGTGTGTGGGTCAAAGAAGGTACATAAATTCAATTGAATTTATGTACCCTTGGGGTCAAACGTGTCTGTATGCCCGGTCGTACAACGGCGGGACTGCGTACCCCGACATATAATGGGTGATGAGCTTCTTCCCTCGTTCCACAGACTACTACCGCCGTTCTGCCGCATATCTTCGTGGTGTAGTAGTAGATGTATCTCGTCGCAAAGATCCTACTCTGCTCCGAGGCATGCAGTTCTTGTCTCGACATGCACGAGCGCGTCCCGTCACGCTCAACCCGACCAAACGACGATATGATCCTCCCATGCACAACCGGCTCGGGTCTCGGTTAGCCGACCGGTTGAAAGAAATCCAGTACGTAGCGGCTGTCTGCGCGTTCGCACCTATACTTGGTTGTTGTATGCTGCGGAGCCCCCGGATACGCGTATCCGGATGGAAGATATTGAAGATGGGCCTGTCATTTCTGAACCCCAAAATGTTCAAGCGCTGCTTCGCGACCGTGACCAAGAAGAAGCTCGGCGTCGAGCAGCTCGCGGCCCGTGGCGGCCTTAGCGGCAAGCGCGTGCTCGTCCGCGCCGACCTCAACGTGCCTTTGAGCAAGACCGACGTGAGCAAGATCACGGACGACACGCGGATCCGCGAAGCGTTGCCGACGCTGCGATACCTGCTCGCAAACGACGCCAAGGTCGTTTTGTGCAGCCACATGGGCCGCCCGAAGGGCAAAGTCAACGAAACCATGCGCCTCGCGCCCGTTGCGCGCCGCCTCTCGGAGCTCCTCGGCCAGCCCGTCTTGACGTCGCCCGACTGTATTGGCGCCGAGGTGGACGCGTCCAAGGCAGGCTTGAAGAGCGGCGACGTCCTCTTGCTCGAGAATCTTCGCTTCCACGCCCAAGAAGAAAAGAACGACCCAGCCTTTGCGCAAGCGCTTGCCAAGGACATTGATGTCTTTGTGAACGACGCTTTTGGCACCGCCCACCGCGCGCACGCGTCGACGGAAGGCGTCACCCACTTCATTTCGACGTCGGTCGCCGGGAAGCTTCTCGAGAAGGAGCTCAAGTACCTTTCGGAGGCCGTGGACGCGCCGAAGCGGCCCCTTGCGGCCATCATCGGTGGCGCCAAAGTCTCGACCAAGATCCCGGTCCTCGAGGCGCTGATTGAAAAGTGCGACAAGATTTTCCTCGGCGGCGGCATGATCTTTACCTTTTACAAGGCCCAGGTGCGGCATGTAGCTTCATACGACGTGAAACAAAGCCGCGAGGCATGCCTAGGGTCTCTCGGTCGGTCAATCCATCGTCGAAGAAGATAAAGTCGCGCTCGCCAAGGAGCTCATGGACAAGGTGCAGATTTGTGCAAAGGATTGTGAGCTCAAGAGGACCTATAGGCCAAGGCCAAGGGCGTCCAGTTCATTTTGCCAACGGACGTTATCGTTGGCGACAAGTTTGAAGCCGACGCGGCGAGCAAGGTTGTCAACGTGGACGCGATCCCGAGCGAATGGCTTGGTCTCGGTATGTGCAACTTCTTCTTGTCTCGCATTGCATATCGTGCTTGTATGCAGACATTGGCCCGAAGAGCCAAGAACTCTTTGCCAAGGAGCTCGCCAACTGCGCAACCATTGTCTGGAACGGTCCCATGGGTGTCTTTGAGTTTGAAAAGTTTGCCTCGGGCACCAACAGCGTCGCCAAGGTCCTCGCAGCGTGCACCAAGAAGGGCGCGACGACAATCATCGGTGGCGGGGACTCGGTGGCTGCTGTCGAACAGTGCGGCCTCGCCGCCGAGATGAGCCACATCTCGACGGGTGGCGGCGCCAGCCTCGAGCTCCTCGAGGGCAAGGTCCTTCCGGGCGTCGCAGCGCTCAACGACGCCTAATGGAAATGTACATTCGCAACATCGTGTAGCCTTGGACGCGTTGCCTGAGCTCTTTTATGTGTGCAGCAGCTGTACACACTTTCCATTTTGATTCCTTTCAGGGCCCAGTTTGAAAATCCGTGACTTATTTGACTGCGCAGACAAAGTAGGTACAGCAAGTATCTTTACGCCTTGGTGAAATCGCTAGGTACAATGGGTTGATGAGCGTTGGTCTACGCTACGGCCACTAAAAAGACTACGAGGGAGAAAATCGCAGTCACAGCGCTTATGCGGCTGCCTTGAGACGGCGTGGGCGTGATGTACTGAGCGTCCGAGCTGTTGGTACTGTTGGATGAATTGTTGCCGGCTCGTGAACCGTTGACAGCCATGGTAGTCGGGGTTGACGGTCTGACTTCTGAGACGACGCCCGTGGGTTCTGGAGCACCGACATTGCCAAACATCGAGATGTAGCTGTCGAATGTGAGGCTGTCCCACGTCAACTTTGCTCGTGTCTCGGTCGTAATGAGGCGGGGCGACGTTTTGATCGAGCACTCGGGCGACATGAGCGCGTACATCGCCGTCATTTGGTTGTAAGCCACGGCGCAGTTGGTGCTCGCGTGGAATCGCAAAAATTGACCTTCCGTGAAGCTGGTCGTCGGGCTCGCAATCGCTGCGACGTCGACATGGAGGCTGGCCGCGCACTCCGCGAAGGCGCTTCCTCTGAAAATCGGATGAAGCGCGAGCGTGATTTGACTGATGTAGCACTGGGGCATGGCCGTCGATGACATGGCAAAACCGATAAAGAGAAAGCTACGCAACAATCTGAGACCCATGACTGTCTTGCCAAATCGAAGAATGCATTTGAGCCTTGAGGTCCGAATCGAACCCGAGATTGGAGGAATTCGCGCCGGCGTCGGGTGCGGAGATGGTGCCTACAGCAACTCCGTGAGAATTCCCGTGTCGGTACCTACATACATCACGTAGTAATCGACCGTTGGAAAAGCTACCTTCAAGGTGTGAATGTGTTTTTTTTGGCTGGATATACCGGTAGATGCTAGGCCCGAAGCTTGGCGCAGGAGCATGCCACGTCATTCTTTCATTGTGCATATTCTTGCATATACGGTTTTACAGGTAGAATACGTACATTTAATGTACTTGTACGCTTTTCGTACGTTCATGTACATTCCACCAAGATCGCGAGGGCCAAGCTCGCATACTGGTATCCGCGCTCGACGAAGAACACCTGCCGATGAGCTCCTCCCGTGGGAACCATGAAGATGATCATGCTGAGGAAGAGAGGAAGCTCATGCACAACCACCAGGGAAGACGACGCGATCGCGCAAGACGGAGACGGCGAAGGGAACGAAGCGCAAGCATGGACCAAGCCGTCTGGCCGACGACGATGCGAGCGGTTCCTCGGACGAAGACGTCGACCCTGACAATGAACCCGAACACGAGACCCAAGGCGACAATGATCTGGACGAAGAGCCCCATGAAGTGTTTATGGCCCTCTTCATCGAGAAGGGGAAGCTTGGCGTCGCTGTCTACGATGCCATGTCCACGAAGCTCAAGACCGCGCAGATCCCAATCACGACCTCGGACCTTGCCCTCGTACGGCGCATGCCTGGTATAACATGAGTGTTCACGGGAAAGTAGACGCTCCAAATGCTCAAGACGCAGATGGAGCCACGAGCGATCGTCGTCTCCCACCGCAACTTTGCCAAATTCGACATGGACATCCTCATGTCGGACGAGCACACCGAGGTGTGCCACCGCAAAGTACGACACCGCTATGCAACTTGAGGGCTCACGCGTGCAACTTTTCCTTTCTCAACGTTGCGCTTTGTCACAGCCCTCAGGTACACTCATCTCTGTAGCCCCTACGTGTTCCACTGTGCATGCATAGACTTTGGATACGCCAAGGCATGCAAGTCCATTGCCAGCTTGCGCATCGGCACGGACTGGGAGCACTACTGGCGCGATTTGAGCGAGACAACCGAGCACGACCTCTTTCTTTGAGATTCGGGAAGCGCTTACGAGCATGATGGACAGACGGGAAGTCTTCAAGTACCTCGGCAGCTATTTCGACTTTGACTCGCTCGAGATGATTCGGGCTGTCGGAGGTAATGTACTCCTTTCACTGCATTGCTTCGACTAGCGAGTCTACTTGACCAATATGTAGCGCTTTTGATCTTCCTTTCGGCCGAAAACGTTTGTCCTTGGAGCCCACGTGCGCGTTTTAATGGTTTTGATGTAGATTGTCAACCAGCTCGAGACGACAACGACCATTTCGATTCTTGCAGTTGAGAAAGCGTCACTCGATGGCGTGATGTTGATCGATGCTATCGCTTTGAAGTCGCTCCAAATCTTCAACGAGGTACCACATTGTAGGGACTCAGTATAGACCATGCTAATACGGACCTGCATAGGAATACCACCCTTCGCAGCTCCGAGTATGTGAGCTGGTGCATCCGCTCCAAGATTTTACGCGAATTGTGCTCTAGGCGTGGGAAAAGTCCAAGGAAGGCTTTAGGTATCGCCAAGAATTCCGAAGCTTGAAGTGACGCAAGCTCACTAGCATTTTCTCGCTTCTTGATCACACGATGACCAAGTGCGGCAAAGCCTTGCTACGCCAATGGATGCTCAAACCGCTAACCGACATCAACGCAATCGAAGCCCGTCAAGATGCCGTCCAGTTCTTCTTGGCATCAAGTCGCAACGACCTCGTCAACTCTCTCGTACGTCACAACGATAGGACCCGTTCTCTTGCTTACAGTGTCGAAACGGTATCCGTAGCTCGTCAAGCTCAAGGCTTTCAAGGATGTTGCGCGCAGCCTTCTTCACATGAAGCAAATGCGCTCGTCAGTGCAAGACTGGACAGTGTTCTACCAGTCCCTCAATAACTTCCTTGGCATGCGGTACGTGATTTGATACAATAAGCAGGTAACTGAGCATTCACCCATAGGAAAGAAGTGACGAAGCTGCCCCGCGACATTCTCAACTCTATTCGCCTCCTCAAGCGCATCGCCAGCTTGGAGTCGTTGGAGCAAGTGTCAAACATGCTTGGCAACGTCATCGACTTTGAAGCAAGCAAGGACGAAACCCACTGTGTAATCCGCGAGGGAATCTCCGAAGAGCTTGACCAAGCTCGGGAGAAGTTTGGCGAGATTGACAGCGTCCGACTAGTCCTTTATGTTCCTTGAGTATAACACACCTTCTTGTAGGTGCTTCTGGACATGTCCAACGTGATGGCCAATGCGTACCCCGAAATGCGTGGCATCGCCGTACAGTACATCCCTCGCGTCGGCTACGCCATTTGCTGCCCGCAGTCGTGTCAAGTCCCACAAAGCTTTGAGTTTCAGTTTGAAGACGGGCTCCAGCGCTTTTACAAGGTATAATATTGGACAATTGTCGATAGAGCACAACGTGTTTTATAGGACGTGCGCTGTTGCAAGCTCGACGAAAGCTATGGGGATATCCATTGCCTAATCTTGGATCTCCAGCAAGGTACTCCACGTAGAAATCTACTGTTCCACTTTGCGACTTCACACCTCGTATTCACGACACTAGGCTTGCTTCTGGAGCTCTATGACGAGCTCATGGAGCACGAAGCCACGTTTTACGGCACGATTCATGGTGTTGTTGAAGCACGCGTGATTTAGATTGAACGATAGACATGATCGACATGGTCTCGGAGGTCGACTGCTTCCTCTCTCTAGCTCGAGCTGCGCGCGAGTTCAATTTTACTCGGTGAGAATTCTTTTTGCATTGGAATAAGATTGATCTATGAGGCTAGTCCTGTCATGTGCGAAGACATCACGTTCGTCGCCAAGACCGCGCGGCATCCTCTGCAAGAGCTCACGGTCGAGTCGTACATCCCCAACGACGTCTCGCTCGATACCACAACGGGCTTGATCCACGTTCTTACGGGTGAAAACGGGTCTGGTATGCTCTTCGATACCTCAAGAGTTGTGCGTTCAAGGCTGTATGGCAGGCAAATCCGTCTACTTGAAAATGGTCGGCGTGCTGCAGTACATGGCCCAACTTGGCTCCTTCATCCCAGTGTCCGAAGGTAGACAATCTCTTGGAGAAACGGCAACTGCATCATAGTCCAGCCCGCATTGGCATCGTGACCAAGCTCTTCACACGCATTCAGAGGTACGCCATGCCTCATCTTGCGCCATTGGTGTAACGAATGTGGCTTTGATGAAAGCTTCGAGACCGTGTTACTGTCGCACAGCTCGTTTACGATCGACTGCAACCAAGTACGCGCTCTATCCCAAGCATGGTTGTGAGTTCTCGTTTCCAAAGATTGCAACAATGCTCCGCCATTGCGATGAGCGCAGCCTCCTGCTCATTGACGAATTCGGCAAAGGTAAACCTTATTGATCAAAGTACAAACAGTTGTCTTACAGGCTGAATCAGGCACGTCCGCGATTGACGGCGTTTGCCTTCTGGTACACCAATTTGCCAACATGCATTGCGCAACGAACATGGTGTAGGCGGCAGTGCTCAAGGACCTCAAAGAAACCGTCCTGCGCCACGGCGGCCCCAAGATCCTCATGACGACCCACTTTTTGGTTTGCTTTTCACTACTAGTACTTGGTATCAGCTGAAGCACACGCCGCATGTAGGAAATCTTTCAAGAAGCCTACTTGCGCGACCACTTGGAATTTCGCGAAGTGCACCAAATCGAGTGCAAAGACCAGGCCCGAATCATTGAGGAAACGTCCACGATCGCTTGCTTTGTCATGTCCTCCGTGCCGATCAACGTGGCGACAAAGGGCAATGTGCCAACCGCGGCTCTTTTCGAGGTCATTCCGGGCATTGCAACCTCGAGCAACGCGTTTCGCTGCGCGACCATCGCAGGTATCCCCATGAATGTAGCGAGCATTGAAGATTCCATGGTGCAACAGGAGTCGACGAGCGCGTCCTGGCGCGCGCCCATGACATTCTCGACTGTCGCCGGTCAAAGACACCGATTGCGCCGTTGACAGACACCAACAACCGCGACGAGGCGTTCGAAGTCTTGACGATGCTGTTTGTCAACGAAGCCAACTGGCTCAATGCGTCGAGTTCGTCGCTTCACGCGCTTCTCGACCAAGCCCGCTCCATCTCGCTCGCTAAAACACGCAGCGTATGCATTCAAATATAGTATGGTCCACCTTCATGCGTCGAGCAACGTGAAGTCCAAGATGCCTTCCGTGTCAAACAGACCGTTGCTGGTGTCGTCGAGGTAAATTTCCTCCGGCGTCGGCGGCGTCGACCGCCACATGCTCTCGGGCTCTACACACCGCGGCATGAAGCGATGCAAGCTCAAGAAGCCATGGTCACGATACCGAAGGTTGTGTCGAGAGTTGTGTCAATGGACGCTTCCAGAGGCAGCAACGCAGTCGCCTTGTCTCGCTCTGCTTCTTTTGCGGCTTCGTCTTTCCACGCTTGTACTTGCGCGTCGAGCTGGTCGTGGAGACTCTGCATGTAGTACACGTCATCGTTTGTCGAGACGCCACCGTGCGCGAGCTCAATGTCCTACGCACTCTGAGTTGTTCACGTACGCAAGAGATGCACGGTACGTTGTCGGCGGATGCGCGCACGGGCGAGGCGCCATCGACAGCTGGTGCTGCACTCGCCTTGCGCGTCGTAGAGGTGTCGACCGGTGTCAAGAAGCGCTGGCCCTTGCCCGCAGCTGCAAAGAGCGTGCTGCTTAGGTCCGTCGCAAAGCTGTTGGATATGTCGCCCAGTGCACGCCTACACGCATGGCTTTGGCGCCCAGCGGTTGCTGGCTCGAGTATACCGCTTGGCCTTGGCCTCTTTCTTCACCTTCTGCGGGCCCGGCAAGGAGCTTTGGGCGTCCATCGACTGCTTCAGCGAGAGACCTACAACATCGTATCTAGAGCATCTGGCTCATGCGCGGCGATGAACCTTCAAAGACGAGCTTTCGGCGAACCGTCGGCGAGTTCTCCTTGGCATGACCGGCTTCCTGCACGAGCTCCATCGCGGCAATGCAATGTCCGGATACGTATCCGGACAACGGCTTCGCAGCATTACAGCATCAAGTGTGGGAGGTTATATGACGTGCGGATTATTGCCTGCCATCAGCATCGCGTCATCTCGTGCCTGCTGCCACCAGCCAACCGCGTGTCGCGTTTGGCGCGGTGTATTCAATTTGAAAGGTATCGCGTACGATTGGCCAATAGTCTGCGATGGACGGTGTTGATTGGTGCGTTGGTACTGTTGAACGCGACGCGATTGGTCCGCATCTAGATTTGCCACAAGAGGCGCGACGCGGTCGATATTTTATTATCTTGCGGCTTGTATCGAGTGGTGGCTTGACGTCAGTCGCCGATTTGCTCATCATCGCCATGCTGCTCGTGCTCGTCGTCGGCGCAGTCCTCTCGGTCGAGAGCTTCCGCGACCTCCTCGAGCAGTCCTTCGCATTCCTCTCGGTGCTCTTCCACGACCACCTCGCCTGCGTGCTCAGCACCGTCGGCTGCGTCGCGCTGCTGCTCAAGCTCCTCATGCCATCGGCGTCGACGGACGACTCGAAGAAGCAGGGCGCGTATGGCTCGATTGTGATCCACAAGGAGAGCAAGATCGCCCAGCTCTCGCACCCATGGGAGGTGCTCTCGGCCGTCAAGATGCTCGTGCATACCAAGGTCGGCGGCGGCAAGCAGCTCCCGACGAACCTCGATGCGGACACTACATGGTGCTTCAAGATGGTCAAGAAGGTCAGCCGCAGCTTTGCCATGGTCATCATCGCACTCCCGGACGAGCTCCGTCTCTCGATCTGCGTGTTTTACCTGGCGCTGCGCGCGCTCGACACCGTCGAAGACGACATGAAGCGCATCGACAACAAGACCAAGATTGAGATGCTCCAAAAGTTTTACTTGCGCCTCTCGGAGCTCGACCTCTCGATTCACGGTATTGGCGAGGGCGACGAAGCCACGGTCTTGGAGCAGGCGGGCCACATGAACCGCGCGCTCGCGTCGCTTCCCAAGTCGCACCAAGACGTCATCATTGACATTACGCGCAAGATGGGCGCTGGTATGGCTGAGTTTGTCGAGGTCGATATGGGCCAGGGCACGGTCAAGACGGCCGATTACGACAAGTACTGCTACTACGTGGCGGGTCTTGTGGGCGAAGGTCTCTCGCGCCTCTTTTCGGCGAGCGGTCTTGAGCACCCGTCCGTGGGCGAGAAGACGGAGCTCTCGATCTCAATGGGCCAGTTCCTCCAGAAGGTCAACATCATCCGCGACTACCTCGAAGACTTTGTCGAAGGTCGCACGTTCTGGCCACAGGAGATCTGGAAGAAGCACATGGGCAACCTCGGCGACATGCGCGACGACTCCAAGCGCGAGGCGAGCCTCAACTGCCTTAACGAGATGGTCTTTGACGCGCTGCGCCACATCCCCGACTGCATGACGTACCTCGCCGCCATTCGCAACCCGGACGTCTTCTTCTTCTGCGCGATGCCCCAGGTGATGGCCGTCGCGACGCTCGCGCAGCTCTACAACAACCCCAAGGTCTTCACGGGCGTCGTCAAGATCCGGAAGGGCACGGCGTGCTTCCTCATGGAACACGCGACCTCGATGCCCAAAGTCCGCGGCATGTTCTCCGAGTACGTCCACGACATTCAGGCCAAGGGCGTCTCGGCCGAGCGCGTCGCGACGTTGCATGCGGCCATCGACGCCATCCACGCGGACGCGTTGGAAGCGCCCAACATGGGCAGCATCGTCTTCCTTGCCTTCTCGAGCCTCGTCGCCGCGGTCCTCTTCCTCGTAAGCACGCGTGGCCTCGTGCTGCCGCCGCTCACGGACGCGATCGGCGTCGGTGCGCTCGCCACCATGTTTGGCAGCGTCGCGGTCTTGCTTGCGTTTGGCTTTACGCCGTTTGCGACGCCGACGAAGAAGACCAAGACCGACTAGCCTCTGAATAATACTTGGTCGGGATAAAAACAACTCGAGAAAAATTCCGCTTCATGTCATCGACGTCTACGGCGCCCTAGTCACGTCACTTCGGTTGCTGCAGTAGATGGCGCTCGTCTCGATGACGACCGTGCTCTCGCACGTGCTGTTGCGCGCAAAGTTGTCTTCGAAAAAGAGCAGCGCCGCGTTCGTCACCTAGGGAGGCGTCGCACCATGCACGAGAAGAAAAGACTACCTTGAAATGACTCGTGAGCGCGAAAAACTCGCGGCACTTGTCATCGCTCTACGCGGCCGCATGGGATCGAGCCGTCGAGTGATGATATACCTCGGGGAACAAGGACGCGAGGTCATGATTCAGCAGCTCCATGAGGGCGGTCGGCGTGTGCGCTTGCAGCAGTCGTTGCTACGCACGAGCCTCGTACGACGCGCCTTTCGACACTTCAAGCGTCGTACCCGTGCGGTCGCGAGGATCGCAAGCGCGACGCGGTACCAGCTTTTCCAGCCCTTGGCGAAAAAGCCGTCAAAAAACGACAGCACGAGGCCCGGGTGGAGCGTCTTGAAGTTGGCGAAGAGCGAGAGCACCCATCTAGAGACGAGGTATGAGCAGCCCGTAGGGTACGCGTAGCCGTCGAGTCGAGGACGTACCCGGAGGCATATGTGTTGGGGTGGATACCGTGCAGTGAAAGGTGTTGGTGGACGTCGGGGAGGTGGAAATGTACGAGTTCGTCGAGCTAGTAGAACGATGTTGAAGGCTCTCAATGCTCGCAAGGCGATGCGTACTTGGTAAAACTTGAGGTTGAGGAGCGGTAGCCCCGGGGCACAGACGCCGCCGAGGTCGTACTTGTCCATGAGAGCGACCAGAAGTCGGAACGCGTGGTGGCACTCCCAATTCGACCCGTAGAGCAAAATGGCCGCAATGTAGTCCATGCCCTATGTACGAAGCAGCGGTTGCTTTGTATGGAAATAAATAGTCAAGTACTTGGCAGTAGCCGATCGTGGGCTGGAAGACAACGTACGCCGTGAGGACGCGCCGCAGCGCATGCTTCCACGTCACAATGTCCTTCCACGTCTTGCCTTTCCGGAGTGCGTAGCCGACGAGCGGTCCGTATGTCTCGGCGGTCTGCGGTCCAAACGTCCGGTCGACGTCGATCTCGATTTGATGCAAATCCTGCGCCATCTTGGCCGCATGATCAAAGAGGAGCAGCGTCGCGCCGGGCTGTGCCTGGAGCTCCATAAAGTACTCGGCGCGCGCCTCGACGTCCTCAAAGGCGGCGTAGATACCAGGCGTGCGCCGAAGGACCTGGCTCCACCAGCCCGACATGCGCGAGCCCGAGCAGAGGATCTCGATGCTCCACTTCCACTACACGTAGGATGCATTGATCTCATCGCTCGCCCATGACCATATCGTACCTCTTGCCATAGGCTCTGGGGCAGCTCGGGGCGCTACGTAAGCCTGAGCTGCGGACGAGATCTATCGATCGGCCGCACCTGGCAGACGTCGCAGACGCGGCATTTCGTGTCACCGAGGCCTGGCAGGCGGGCGCGGCCGCGGGAGCAGTTGCTGCAGACGAGGGCGCCGCAGTTCTACGCGCATATGTGAGGCAACGCGTGGCAATGGGCGAGGCCTCTACTCGGCAGTGGTGCTTGCGACGAAAGGTCGAGAAACCGGCGTGGCACACCATGCAGTCGTCGGCCGCGCGGTCCGGCACCCAGGGCACGCCAGTGGCCAGGACGGCGTCAGGGCCCGCGTGCAGGTTCTTGAAGCTCACAGTCGTGTTGATGCTGTTGACGCTGCCAGCACTCGCGATGCTGAAGTTGCGCACGCGAGCATCGCCCATCTCGGGCCCCGTGATCTTCCTCGCGATCATGTTGGGTCTGGCGGCAGTATCCGGATACTCAGCCAGGCGGTCCGGTTGTGTGGTTTGTGCCCGAGCCCGTGCTGATGCGTCAAATGGACGCTGAGACCAGCATAAGTCTTGTCTGCATGGCGGAAGTACACTCGATGCGACAATGAATTGCTGCCCTATACCTTAGCTATCCAAGCGGCGCTGTTGAAAAATGTGCTGTGCTGCCGCCGCTGACGGCTACACTGCCTTTCGTAAGGAAGACTTGGCTGACCGACGCCCCCGCCACGGGCTGCAGCAAGAAAGGCTCCTTGCAACGGTCTCTTTCTCCACTTGAATCCATCGAGCAGCGCCACAATTGGCTTTGGCCGCGAACCTTGTGGAGCCTACTTCAATTGGCTTGAATGTATCAAGTTTTGCACGCATCAATCGCTTGTATTTTCAAAAAGATCAAGAAAATACGTCGACCGACGTGGCGCTTTCGATGAGTATGTTGAGCCGCACGCTCGAAGTGTCGGCCGAGTGTCGAGTCGCATGGACGTCCGCAGCCGCTGCCCAGCAGCGTGACCGAAGAGATGATTGCGATTTGTCGTTTGAAACGTTGATCGTCGCTTGGCGCTTGCGGGCCTTTTCCGCCGAGATGCAGCGGCGTCGTTCCAGAGATGCAAATGCGATGGCTTGGTCTCGGAGATGAACCTTGCATTCAAGCATGCCAAGTCCATTTCCACTTTGAACGCCAACTGTCGACATGGTCTCCGTGAAGACGTCACTGTTTTGATCGGGTTTCTTGCCATCCGGGCCGCTGGTCAAGGCACTGGACCACCGCCATCAACGGCAACTGCGACAGCTTCCGTCTCCCCATGCACTCAAACGCCACCACCGACGACTCAGTGCACTCAGACATCAGCACCGACGAGTCCGGCCCCAACATCTGTGACGTCAACGCCGACGCCGACAACGAGCACCCCGACGTCTCTTAAGCCAAGCACACCAACACCGACAACTGCTCCTATTACACCAGCCACGTCGGCGACTCCGAATCCGTTGCCTCCCAGCGCGACGATCACCCCAGCAGTATCTCCCAAGCCCATATCTGCGACTCCGACGCCGACTTCCAGTCCACCGACGGCTGTTCCAGCAACCACGACACCATTTCCAACCACAGTTCGTCCCGTGACCCCACAGCCAACGACCAAACTCTTGACCCCTCAGCCATCGGCGAGCCCCGCGACCCCGCAACCAAGCCCATCAACACGCAGCCCCATGCCGCCTACTGCGACCCCGTCACCCAGCCCGTCAACGGCGCCAGGTGTAATCTGTCCCGGATTCCCTGCGCCGCCTGCATCTTGTGAGGGCTTCAACTGGTTCCTTGTATACATTGCTGGCGACACGTTTTGTGGGCAAGGGACCAACCCGTGTGACAAAAATGTCGACAACTGCCCTGGCCCCCAAGACGGTCTACCGTACGGCTCCATGTGCATCCAGGCGCCTGATCTCACGTACGCTTGCGTGCCACGAGTGTCTTGCCCGCCATTGGGACAATCCTCCGTACCGACGGTGACGTCATCTGCAACTCCCGAAAGCGGCGACCTGACATTGCCACCCATCACACCCGCGCCCGAACCCGAGCCAACGACCGTTCCCACCAGCTGCACCTTTTCCGTGAGCATTCCTTCGTACGAAGAGTGCGCAGACGACAAGATGCTGGCGCAAGGCTGGCTCCCGACCAGTGTCGTGGGCAGCAGCACGTTCTGCGCGCAAATCTCGCCGCCCAACAAGCCGCGCTGGTGCTCGGGCGACGCTCCGGGTGTTTGCCCCTCGCCCCAACCCGGTCTTCCGTTTGGCTCGATCTGTCGCGTCCTCAACGAGACCCTTGCCGGCACACCGCAAGCTGTCTACGGTTGTGTACAGTCGCCGGACTGCGAGACGCTCGAGTTCGAATCGGGGATCATCACGTTGCCACCTATCACGCTGACGCCCGCACCAAGTGCACAGCCATCGACGACATCTCCAATCTCGTCAACAGCGAGTCTGACGCCGTCTGTGAGCCCAGTGACGCCAAGTCCAACCACCTCGGTGGCTCCTGTGCCGTCGCCGAGTGCGTCAACCAGTTCTCCGATTCCGTCGACGTCGAGTCCAGCGCCGGTGCCTCCGACGACAGCTCTGGTGACGACCGCTCCAGTGCCAATGACGAGTGCGCCTGCGCCAACGAGTGGTCCCACGTCGGCCCCAGTGCCCCCGTCTCCGACTACACCGACCCCGGTGATGTCGACGCCTACGCCAACTACGGTCGCTCCTGCCCCAACCACAGTGACGTCGGTGCCCACCACGATTGCACCATCGCCAACCACTGGAACAACCCAACCGTCCTTGACACCGCAACCGACGACTATGGCACCAGCTCCTACAACTGCGACGCCGCAGCCGACGACGGGGACGCCCGTGGCTACTACTTTGACTCCTCAACCCACTACGGTAACGTCCGAGCCAACGACGGTGACGCCGCAGCCGACCATGGTGACTCCTCAACCCACTACGGTGGCGCCTGCCCCAACGACTGTGACACCCTTGCCAACAACGGTGACGCCTGTCCCAACAACGGTGACGCCTGTCCCAAGACGGTGACGCCGCAGCCAACCACGGCGACTCCTCAACCCATACGGTGACGCCGCCCCAAGAGGGGGCACCTGCCAACACAGTGACACAGCCCAAAGGACGCAGCTGCTGCCGGGGCGTGACACCCTGGCCAACAGGGTAAGCGGTCCCAAAGAAGGTAAAACCGCAGCCGACCATGGTGACTCCTCAACCCACTACGGTGACGCCTGCCCCAACGACGGTAACGTCCGTGCCAACGACCGTGACACAACCTCCAACCACTTGGCCAACGACAATGACACCCGTGCCTACAACGTTGACGCCTCAACCCACCACCCTCACGCCTACCACAACGACGGTCACACCGGTGCCATCGTACCCAACACAGACTCCGCTTCCTTACCCCACGCGTGCCCCCGCACCGGTCTACCCAACATGGGCTCCGTAGCCTGTCCTACCTGCGACGGCGACGTCAACACCAGCCACATTGTAATATCCCTTTCTGCATTACTGTACCTCTATCGGTGCTTCGTAACTGTGTTCAATTAAATCATTCCCTTGATATCTATAAGCGTTGCCCCCGTGCGATAGACCCACCTTTTTGTCCAGCCTTGTTCAGTCAATACTCTCATATTCAATGGTCCACCAATGGAGGTGCGACGCGGGCCTGTCCACCAAGTTATAGACGATATGTCTGCGAAGGCTAAATGCGTTGCGCGTACGACACACAAACGTAGCTTTACATGGAACTTTCAAGAATTAACGAGCGGCAACTTTACTTGCTCAAGTACGTCTGGAGCTGCGGCAGCGCACGCGTGCGGTCGACGATGGCCTGGAGCTTGGGGTACTCGGCGAGGCGAATTGTGACGCTGTCGTTGGAAAGCGTGTTCAAAAAAAGTCCAAGAGGTACACGTCCGCAAACGTGATCTGCGCACCCGTAAAGTACGGACCCGCCACGCGCGCTTCGAGCTGCTGCAGCATGCGCGGGAAGATCTCGCCGTTGATGGCCTCAAACTTGGTTGCGCGCAGCGTCTCGTCCTTGGTCTTGAAGACGGCGTCAACAACGACGTTGACGAG